GACTTACATATATAAACAATTAAAACAATTACAAACAGTTAACAACGGGGAATTGTGTCTGTTGGGTCACGAGGTTCAAACTAAACTCCCTTGCATTCAAAACTACCCTGTGAGTAGTCTTGGGGCGGCTGAGTTTAGTTCTAGTCCCAGACCTGGTCAGTGGCTCATAGATTTCAAGAGGCTATTTAACAGTTAGGCTTGCATGCTTACCACAAAGGCAAACAGGAGTGGCTTCATGGCTGGGGAACGCTAGTCACTTCATGGAGGCCTCAAAAACCGACCCGAGATGGTGCTCGGGGAGGGGCGGCCCTGGTGGGTGATCAGTCCGCGGGCCCTTTGACGCCTGAAATTTCATTCTGAACTTCCCCCGTCAGGGCTTTTCCCACGACTGCTTTTGTACTGTTAGGCTGTAGTGTTTTATTTCCAGTGACCAATCAGTTGTCTTTTCCCTCAGCAATTTGTTCCTGGTGACCAATTGTGAGCCATATCAAAACTTTGGGCTGCAGCATTTTGTTTCAACTCACGCCAGCTATTATTACCTTGCTTTTGTTTGTCAGGCAGTTTCGAGGCGGGTGATCTTCTGCTACATGAGGGTAGCAGACGCCACTCGTCCAGAGACCTTTGCGTCGAGGCCTAACACACTGCTGACTTATTACGCGGCCTGGCCATTCATCTGTGTGTGCCTGTGACAAGGTGCTGATGTGTTGAGTTTGAAATTGAAAACTAATAATTACTATGGCCAGTATGTCACTTGTCACCTTGTTTCTCGTAACGCAATTTGATTTTTCTGGTAACTGAGTAAAAATAGGATAAATAAACGTATCCTGTGAGCATATAAGTCCATATACTTAACTGTAAACCATCATATCCTCGTGTGGCGGGCCAGTATGGGGTGCTCCTGCACTGAGCCACCTACCTCACTGCGTCCGACCACCTTCCAGGCTCTGAGTGCCTCCCAAGGGGCGGCTCACATCTAGCCAACCTCCTTCCTGGAGCACACCTGCTAGCTTGGGGGTGGTGCCGCCACCACCCAGGGTCTGGTCTGATCCTGGCACTGTGCCTCCTGGGAAACATAGGCCTAGTAGTCCTTGACTTATATAGCCCTTATGACCTCTTTTACCTGGTCCAGTGGAGGTTAGCACCTGTTGGCTGCCAGCCAACCAATTTGAAATGCATCACTGGTTGCCAGGCAGACTGGCATTCTCTCTAGAACAATAGGGAGCCCGAGCCCCTGACCCAGGTATGTGATGCCAGTCATGTAGGCAGAGGAAGCAGGTTTCCCCCCTCCCTCAGGAATGTATCCAACTCAGGGTACCTAAAGAGACAGGATGTCTGCAATCTGCAGGGCCCATGTTAACCAAATTGTCACAGAGCAGAGTTTTTGGGGAGAGACAGAAGTGGCATTCTGCCATACTCCCCCCACCCCCCTTAAAAGCTTAGGCACATGGCTTCACAGAGCTATGGGTGCAAGTGTGTTTCATTTAGAGGGGTCACCTTTCACACCTAAAGAGTGATTATACAAGACATAAGACTGGTCATAACAGTAATACACATAGAACATTGAAGCACATTGGGGAGCTCCCATGCCAGAGCTCTCTCAGGTGGGCCTGAGTCCATTTGACTCAGTACCCAGAGTCCTTTCATGACAGGGCATCTGCTCTCACATTTTAGCTTCCCTTGATGTGTTCGATGGTGAAGTTGAACTCTTGGAGCTGCCAGGCCCATCACTGAAGCTTGGCATTGGTGTTTTGCATTGTCTGCAACCATTGCAGTGGGGTACGGTCTGATAGGATGGTGAACTGCTGCCCCCACAGATAAGGCCTCAACTTGTTCAGTGCCCAGACGATTGCCAAACACTTCTTCTCAATAGATGACACGTTCTGCTTCTGAGGGAGTAACTTTTGGATTAAGTAAACCACAGGGTGCCGTGTTTGTTTGTGCTCTTGTAAGAGGACAGCTCTGAGTCAGAGGCATCAGTGGTTATGAAGAAGGGTTTATCATTGACCGGTGCCTTCATAATCAGTTGTTCGATCAGGACAGCCTTTAGGTTGTCAAATGCTTCCTGGCACCCCTGCTTCCAGACCACTGGATCAGGGCTGCCCTTCTTGGTCAGCTCATATAGGGGAGCTGCCATTGCTCCAAATCCAGGGACAAACCACCTGTAATATCCAGCCAGGCCAAGAAAGGCTCTGACTTGCTTCTTGGTTTGTGGGGGTGGCCAGTCTCTAATGGCCTTGATCTTTTCCAACAAGGGAGCAATCTGACCTCCACTCACACGATGTCCCAAGTATACCACTTCAGATAGTGCCAACTGGCACTTTCTGGTTTTCACGGTAAGACCAGCTTGCTTGATCTTTCCTAACACGGTAGTCAGATGAATCAGGTGTGATTCAAAGACCTGACTGAAGATGGCGATGTCATTGATGTAAGCCATGGCAAACGGGTCACGTCCTTGTAACAGGTTATTAATCGGGCTTTGAAAAGATGCGAGAGAGTTGCACATACGGAAAGCTAAAACTGCATACTCATCTAGTCCCACAGGTGTGGTAAAGGCAGACTTGGCTATGGCATCCAGATCCAGTGCCATTTGCCAGAATCCTTTGGACAGTTCAAGAGTAGAGATGATCTTGGGTTGGCCCAGGCAATCTAGTAAAGAGTCCATCTGGGGCATAGGATAAGCATCAGGGGTGGTAATAGTATTCAGCTTCCTGTACTCCACACAGAACCGGATGGACCACTGGGCTGGCTAGGGAAGGCTGGATTACCCCTAACTCTCTCGTCTCTGCGATTGTCCACTTTATTTCTTGCATCATCTTCGCATTAACTGGGTAAGGCTTGGATTGGATACGGTGATGGTTGCCCATGTCTACAGAATATAATGCCAGGTTCTTTTTACCTGGTTTTTTACCTGGAGAACACTGTCTCAAAGCCCTTGAGTGCTGTGAGTAACTTGTCCTTGTCCTGGGAGGTCAGATGTTCTGGCAGGCGGATTTCCTCTATTCCTGCCTCTCCATCCCAGTCACCATACATTGTCGGCTCCTCTAGGCCCTCAGGTGATTCTTCTGCTGAGGAAATCCAGAATACTACGTCACTTCTATTAAAGTATGGTTTAAGCATGTTCACTTGTATTATCTTAGGCTTTTTGTCTGCCCCACTCCTGGTCACTATGTAAGACATCATCCAGCCTGTCCAGGATGACATGGGGACCTTCCCAAGCTGCTTGCAGCTTGTCTGTCTCTAGTGGCTGGAAAACCATGATCTTTTCACATCATTCAAAGGTATGTAAGTGAGCCTTTTCATCATACCAAAAACTCTGCTTCTCCTGGGCCTGGGCCAGGGAGTCTCGTGCCACCTTCATCATGTCAGTTAGCTTCTGACAAAAGCTGAGCACATATTCTACCACAGAGGTCTTAGTGGAAGAGATTTTCCCTTCCCACTCTTCTCTCACCAAATGGAGGGGACCCCTAACTTGTCCTCCATACATCAACTCGAATGGCAAGAACCCAGTGGACTCCTGGGGTACCTCTTGGTAGGAAAAGAGCAAATGCAGAAGTTCCTTATTCCAGTCACTGGGGTTAGAGTCTACATAGGCCTTTAGCATGCCGTTTAAGGTCCCATTGACCTTAAAAGCCCATTTGTCTGAGGGTGATAGGCTGTGGTCTCCACGTGTTTCACCCCACAGCACTCCCACATACACTTCATCACCTCCGCCAGGAAGTTCCCACCCCTGTCAGTCAGGATATCGGAGGGAAAACCCAGCTGAAAGAAGATCTTAGTCAGGGCTTCAGCAACTGCCAGTGCCTTAGTGGAGATCAAGTCAATTGCCTCTGGGTACTGAGTTGAGAAATCCACTAGAGTCAGGATGTATTTTTTCATTCTACGAGTTTTATGCCTCAATGGGCCCACAGTGTCTATACCCACTCTTTGGAAGGGTTAATCAATGATAGGGAGGGGCTGTAGGGGAGCCTTTGTCTTGTCCCCACTTTTACCCATCTGCTGGCACATCTTGCAAGATCTGCAGTAGTCTGTCACATTCTGGGCAATTCTGGGCCAATAAAAGTTCACCTGCTAAGCAATCATCAGGGAGTTCTGGTGCTCCTGTAAAGAGTGCATCTTCGTCCTTGGGGATGTCCTCTAACTTCTCCCCAAGGGTCTCAGTTTCCTCTGCCACTGACTGACTGGACTCCTCCCTGGGGCTGTCACTTAACTCAACCTCAAGGTCACTAGTTTCTTCAATGCCTGGTGACTGGTTGCAGTTAGAGGGAGTCTCTCCCTTCTCCTCCTCTGCCTCTGCAGCCAATTGGGTGACCGGGCCCTGGGAAGTTTCCACTCCTCCCACCTTAGTCTTTTTGTTCTGTTGACGAGTCACCACATTAACACAGTAGGACTTTATGAAGTGGGCCTCCTCCCTTTGCAGGTACTCTAGCTTTGGGGGCCCCTCAGAGTGGCTCGGGTCTCCCTCCTCACTGCTTACAGCTGTTGTATGTCTGATTGGCTTGGGTTTGTTGCTTAGCTTTGGGCAGTTGGGCCTGATGTGGCTTGGCTCCCCACAGTTATAGCAACCCCTCTTTTCCGAATCGGGTGGTTTGTTTGAATCTGGGGCTGCCTTGTGCTCAGCAGGTGTCCCTTTTTCCTGTTTTGGGCCTGGTCCTCCCTTCCCTCCTTTGTGGAGCCCCTTCTGTTTCTTCCCAAAGTAGGGAGGCTTCTTGTCCAGCCCCTGTCTATTTAGCACCAGCTGATCCACCAATTTTGTAGCTTCCCAGATTGTTTTAAGGCTCCTATCCTTGACAAGGGTTTTAATCTCCCTCAGCTATTTGTAATAGAATGGCTCCAGCACCATAAACATGTCCACCTCCTCCATGGTGGAAGCTTCGGCTTCCTTCTTCCATTTCTGGTATGAATCCCATAGCAGGGCCCCACATTCATGTGTAGTCTTTCCCAGCTGGGGGTTAGCACTATGGAATTTTTCTTGGAAGTAATCCGGACCAAACTTAAACCTTACATGCACCAGCTCTCTAAAGGTGTCAGAGTTATCCACTGATTCCAAGGGCAGGCTGTTCAGAACAATGGATATGTCACTCTCAACCAAAGCAGCCATGTTTCATGAACTCTTCCTTTGGAAACTTGCATCGGTGTGCTTGGTTTTCAAAGTTGCTTAGGAACACTTCTGGATCATTCCCATCTTTGTAGTGAGAGAAGACTGGGGTGTTTGGTCTGCGGGGTGCAGCTGGTGACCACTGGGCACCCGCAGTTCCAGCATTTGCCTTCATCTGGAATACTGCAAGATCGTGTTTGTGCTTGAGCCTTGCCTGTTTGGCCTATGCCTCATGCTGGTTCTGGGCTTCTCTAGCCTCATGCTTACACTGTACCTCCTCATGATGGTGCTGGACCTCCAACTCCATCCTTTTCAACTCTACCTGATGCTTGAACTTGCATTCTTGCTCCTCAGGTTCTAGCTGCAGCTGGTATTTCTGGAAGTCTCACTCAGAGGATGGCCCTTCCGTGCCCCCGGTGGGTTCTGGATGGACATGTGGAGGTGATCTTCGAGCCTGGTCATTATCACACAGGATCTTAATCAGTTCTTCTCTCTTTTGCTCCTTCCTCACTGGAAGGCCTCTCTCTTTCATCGTCTCTTTCAAGTCGGCCAGCATTATATGGTCATACTCGTCAGCCATCCTAGCTATCTACACTGTCCAGTTGACCTGATGCCAAATTAGAGATTGTTTGCTCAAGGTTTTTCAGTGACTCTATTCCCTTCCCAAAATTATGTCTTCAGTACATCAGGTTGTCAGATCCCACATTACCACCATGTGTGGCAGGCCAGTAGGGGGTGTTCCTGCACTGAGCCAGCCACCTCACTGCGCCCTGCCACCTTCCAAGCTCTGAGTGCCTCCCTGGGGGTGCCTCATATCATGCTGACCCCCTTCCTGGAGCACATCCACTAGCCTGGAGGTAGTGCTGCCACCCACCCAGGGTCTGTCCTGATCCTAGTTTGTCCCCCTGGGAAACACAGGCCTTGTTCTCCTTGAGGCTACCCGACCCACTTCAGGAACTTAAGAACTTGGGGTGCTTTCGTCAGTCTGAAGCACAAACAGTGGTCTCCCTCAGCCGAACCAAGGGGACCCCAAGGCATAATCTAGACCCACTCTCAACGAGTCTCCCATGCTAGGTACAACGGAGAATTTTATTGGTTACAGGGAGTAGGTTTGGAATAGAGTACAGGGTTGAGCAGTATGAGAGAAATCCCATCCCTAGGCTAGCAGGTGTGCTCCAGGAAGGGGGTCAGCTAGACATGAGGCACCGCCAGGGAGGCACTCGTAGCCTGGAAGGTGGTCAGGTGCAGTGAAGTGGGCGGCTCAGAACGGGGGCACCCCCTATTGGCCTGCCACAATAAATCACAGTTGCATAAGTAGGGACCTACCTAATTCACGGGGGCTGCCTCTTGATTTTATGGGCAGAATGTGGGCCCAGGAAGCCATTTTGAAGATGAAGTCCAGTCCCATCCCCCCCCAGTTTGGTTGAAGGGTGCTGGTGTCCCCATCCCTCACCACTGATTGGCTGCCATGGCTGTCCATCATGCAGACCCCTCCTCTGATTGATGGAGAGGGGCAGGGCCACATGACAGACAACCCAAAACAGCCAATCAGTGGTGAGGGGTGGGAGTGGCAGCCATCTTGCCGGCAGTCCCCTCTTCCCCCCTGCCCCACCCTGGTGAGCTGCCATAGCACTAGGTAATTTTTTTCCCCACAGACTTTGCATATTCTGTGGATTTTCCAGGCAATGCTGGATTTTACAAAATCCACAAAATTAAGAATTTGGTAGGTTCCCTATCCATAAGGGAAACAATAGTCTTAGTCATAGCCTCCAGCCCTTAACTTTTTGTGTAGAGTTGTTTGCAGTAGTAGTCTTGTTTGGAGTGTTGCTTGTGTGAGATTTACAAACTATAATTCTGTATACTTCACTAAAGTCAGCTAAACGGGATTTAATCCAAAAACTGTCTTCAAACCTGGACTTCCTTAATAAAAGAAACTGCTATATGAATAACAAAAGCAGCATCAGTGTTGCAGCTGCTAGTGCTACATTGGCTACTAAAAGCATTTTAGCATACTTCTGGCCACAAAATACCTGCTACTCACTTCGGTGACTGGGCATTTGGAAAATGCCTACACTGTAACAAAGGCAACCTGTTTCATTGTGCCATATGGCCCTGTACTGTGGCACATGTGACACTACTATTTAAATCTATCCCACAGTGAGCCAGAACTTAATAGCTTTTGAGAAGAACCAGAACATCCACATTTCCTGTGGGTGGCAAGTATGTGCATTGTTTCTTAAAATAATAGCAGTTCAGTTCAGTACAAGATTGTTGTATTAGCTTGTACTACAGTGGTGTCTAGAACAGGGGTGGTCAATTACTGTGACTGGAGGGCCACTTAATGAGTTTTGGGGACCTGTCGAGGTCCAAATCCACCTGTCCCTCTCCTTGTCTCTGTCTTGTTTCTTCTCTGTTTTTCTGTCTCTTCTCTTCTCTTCTCTTCTCTTCTCTTCTCTTCTCTTCTCTTCTTCTCTCTGTCCTTCTACTTCCCTCTCTCCTCTTCCCTCCCTACAGAGCCTGGGTGAACCTATAGTTCATCAGGAGCTCCAACGCTCAGCTGTGAACCCAAGCAAGAGCTGCTGCCATGCTGGGCAGGTGGCAGTGTCAGCTTTGGCAGGATTCTGGAGGGAAGTGGGGAGGGAGGAAAGATTCTGAGAGAAGAGAAGAGACAGAGAGAGATGCTGCTGCCCATCCAGTGAAACAGAAGCTCCTGCCGAGATCTAAGGCTGATGCCACTGGCTGTTTATGGGTCAGGACTCCAGGCAGAAGCTTCCACCATGCTAGGATGGCAGTGGGTCAGCTGTGGATGCCAATGGAAGGTTCTGTGTCTAAGCTCCTGACCCTGCCGTGGCATCCACAGCTGATGCCACTGCCTGCTCACTGCAGGGAAAGCCTTGCTCAGCTTTAGAACATGCTCACTAGGCTCTGTGGCAGAGTAGCTATGAAGCTCTGTACGTAGCTGTGTAGCCAGGGCTCTGCCAACTATTGCCTGCTGGACCGATCTGGCCTGTGAAGTGAGTGAGTGACTGGAGCGGGTCTCCAGTGGCACAGGGTACTCATTAGTACTCATCTTGGTTGGCACATTGTCCTTCCCTGGCCTGTGTCATACTGCTGGTAATGTCCATGCTCTCTGTAGTCTGTTCTCTGGTGGACGCTGATTACCATTGCAGCTAAATTCAACCTTCTCTAAAGTCAGGGATGGCAGCTGGCGGGATATAGCAGAAGTGGTAGCAGGTGGCTGGGGTGCTGCGGAGGGGAGCAGTGACTGGCAATGTCAGATAGGTGGCAAAAAAGTCAGCCCGCCATAAGGTTGTTGACACCTGCTGTACACAAGCATACTGGGCAAGCATACGTCATAGACTTGTACATGACCAAAAACATATGCAGGTGTTACATATGGAAGGAGAAGTGCCTTCCCATGTCTGAGCCCCAGTGGCTGAGTGGTTAGGACACTTGCTTAAAAGGCATCCATCATCCAGAAGGGCTTTAAAACTGTCTCATTGCCTTCTAACACAGGTCTCTTAATAGTAGGCCACAAATTTATGTATTATCTAGGTGTTTTTTCCAGCACACATTTTGAAATTGGCCCCCTGGTCAAGCAACTGTAGGGGCAGGAAGAAAAGACTAAACTAGATGTGTGCTACTGAAATATATGCAGTAGGCCGTGAGTTCGATCTTAAATCCTTAGTCCCAGTGGGGAAGAAATTTCCCTACTTCTTTCTTTGTAGTAAATACTAAATGCAAGGTGCAATGGCATAGCTTCACCTGTGTCTCCTGCTCCCTGGCTGAGTGCCCTAGACCAGTGTTTCTCAACCTGTGGGTTGCAACCCAAAAGGAGGTAGCAAGAATATTTGAAAGGGTTGTGAGGAAGTCCTGGAAAAACACAGGAAAGCATGGGTTTCCCCTTGCAGGCTGGCAGCATTCCAGCTCAGGGGGCAGGGGAATGTGGGTCAGGAGTGAGGGCACTGGCAGAGCCAGGGGTGTGTGGCTCGGGAGTGCAGGGAACCAGAAAGGCCAGGGGCCTGTAGGTCAGGACTGGCCATTGATTTTTAAATGGGTCCCAGTACAAAGAAGATTGAGAACCACTGCCCTAGACACTACTCTATTGGGTTAATTTATGGGAATTTCCTCCTTTTGATTTTTTCCAGGCTTGAATTTCAGGAATTACACATGAATACATGCGTACAGAGACAAAAATCTGGCTGGGCAATGCCCAAGCTCCTGTTCATAATCAGTACTCATGAACCCAACTGAGCATAAGTAGTATCAAAAATAGCAATTATGCAGCTGAGTAACTGTCACTGGGCTTGTAAAATGAAATAAGTTTCAGCCATAAGCAATTTTTTCAAGGTTGACCAGGAAATTTGGACCACAGCACAAAATTGAAACCAGATTAACTTAAATTCTATCTATACAAATTTTCTGTGTACTACAGATTGATGGAGGGTAAGGAATCACCCTCACCTGGACCTCCCTGGCCCATAGTGGGCAGAGGCATCCAAAAGGACTGGGACACCCCTCCATCAATGCTGATCTTGTCAAGGAACACCTTGAGAGTCTGGATACCTTCAAGTCAGCCGGCCCTGACAGTTTACACCCCAGGGTACTCAAGGAGCTGGCTAGCATCATAGCCCAGTCCCTGGCACAGATCTTCGAGAACTCCTGGTGCTCTGCTGAAGTGCCCAAAGACTGAAAGAAGGCCAATGTGGTGCCTCTCTTCAGGAAAGGGAGGAAAGTGAATCTAGCAAACTACAGGCCCATCAGCCTGACCTCTATCCCAGGGGAAGGTCTTGGAAAAGATTATCAAAGAGGCCATCCTTAACAGACTGGCTGATGGCAACATCCTGAGGGATAGCCAGCACAGGGTTGTTGCGGGTAGGTCTTGCTTGACCAATTTCATCTCCTTTTACGACCAGATGACCTATCACTTGGACAAAGGAGAAGAGATTGATGTCATATATCTTGACTTTAAAAAAGCCTTTGATCTGGTATCCCATGATCGCCTCTTGGCAAAACTGGCTAACTGCGGCCTCAGCCTCACCACGATCCACTGGCTGGGGAATAGGCTCCATGGTAGGACCCAGAGGGTGGTGGTTGATGGAAGTCGATCGTTGTGGTGCTCTGTGGCCAGTGGGGTCCCACAAGGCTCTTTCTTATGGCCTATACTGTTTAACATCTACATCAATGATGTGGACATTGGTGTCAGAAATGGACTGGCCCTGTTTACTGACGACACCAAACTCAGGGTAAAGCATCCATACCTGATGACAGGAGGGTGATCCAGGCAGTCCTTGACAGGCTCAGGAAATGGGAGGATGAGACCCTGATGGTGTTTAACACCAAAAAATGCAAGGCTCTCCACTTCGGGAGGAAAAACCTGCAGCATGCTTATAGTATCGGCAGTGCTACGCTGGCTAGCACTATGGATGAAAGGGACTTGGTGGTCATGATTGACCACAAGATGAACATAAGCCTTCAATGTGATGCTGCAGCTAGTAAAGTGAGCAAAACGGTGGCTTGAATCCATAGATGCTTCTCAAGAAAATCCCAGGACGTCATTCTTCCATTATACTTGGCCTTGGTGAGGCCACAACTGGAGTACCGTGTCCAGTTTTGAGCTCCACAATTCAAACAGGATGTGCAGAAGCTTGAGAGAGTGCAGGGGAGAGCCACCTGCATGATTAGAGGTCAGGAAAACAGACCTTATGATAACAGGCTGAGAGCCATGGCATTCTTCAGCCTGGAAAAGCACAGAGTCAGGGGCGATCTGGTGGCCACCTATAAGTTTATCAGGGGTGCTCACCAGGATCTGGGGGAACGTTTGTTCGGCAGAGCGCCCCAAGGGATGACAAGGTCAAATGGTCACAAACTCCTGCATGACCTTTTCAGGCTGGACATAAGGAAGAACTTCTTTACTGTCCAAGCCCCCAGGGTTTGGAATAGACTGCCACCTGAGGCGGTTCAAGCACCCACTTTGAAAACCTTCAAGATGGATGTGAATGCTTATCTTGCTGGGGTCCTATGATCCCTGCTGACTTCCTGCCTCTGGGGGAGAGGGCTGAACTCGATGATCTTCTGAGGTCCCTTCCAGCCCTAGTGGCTATGAATCTATGCATCTATGAATTTGTTTAACAGGTTTGAACTGAAATGGAGAAGAACTAGGGAATTAGAGGAAAAGTATATTTCTTGCAGTGGTGTAAGTATCGATGATATGTTTCTCACTACAAATGTTTTTTGGTAAATATGTCTTACAGCAGTCACCATGGTGATAAACAACTGGATTCCAAAGGGAAAGAAACAAAACAAAATTTATCTCAGGACTTGGGTAGACAAGGGAATTTTTTAAGATAATAAATAATAAATTGTGTGATGTCACATAAAAGGCTGAATCCTCCCAATAAACAATCCTATTTCATACTCAAAGAAAATGTGGAGAGGGAGAGAGAGGACTTATAAGAGGCATCATTGTAATACCATATTTTCTCAAATCTAAAATGACCCTGAATTCAAGATGACCCCAATAATTAGGTTCTAAACATGAAAAAAGTATAAATTTGTTATCATTTTCCATGTATAGAATCTAATTATTGGGGGGCAGTCTTTAATTTATCCCTCCACTACTACAGGGGAAGGCAGTGAATGGCAGGTGGTGTGGGGAGCTGAACCTTAGTTTGCATATCAGCTTTCCCCCTACTTGTGCCTGCCTCCCTCTGCCAGAACCTCAGGTCCTCCATCCCCTCAGACCCTGCTCCTCTTCTTTGCCCCAACCTTTGCTCCCTCTTTCCCCCAAATTTTTCTTGTTCTGTGTCAGCACATTTAATCCATCCTGTAGCTTGGGGTATAGACCGCAGCCCCAGCCCCACACCTGTAGCAGCTGTGTTGGTTGTGCACCACTGCTATGGGCTCAGCTGGGGCCATGCTTAGTGCCCCAGGCTGCAGCATGGATGAAACCTGCCAGCAAGTAGGGAAGATATGTGGGGGGGAGAGAGGGGTGTGTGGGGAAGCAGAGGCTGCATGGTGGGGGAGGGAGATTGTGGGGTGCAGCTATGGTGGGGAAGGTGGGGAGGAGGCAGGCAGCAGCTGTGGCTGTGGCCCTGACCCCAGATAGGGGCTAGAGCCTGAGCCACAGCAGTTGCTCCGCCCCTCCCCTGTACATGATTCTAAGATGAGGGTCTTTTCTACTCCTGTTAAATTGGCGGCGGGGGGGGAGGGCTTATCTTAGAATCAAGTAAATATAGTACCTCTCTTACTGAAAGTGACATTAATTTATTTTGCTTGTCCACAATATTCATCACACAGTGGACTGATGGGGTGTACCCAGAGAGTGGTGGTGGATGGGCTGTACTCAACCTGGCGGATGTGAATAGTGGGGTTCCCCAGGGCTCGGTTGTGGGGCCTACACTGTTCAACATCTTCATCAGCGACTTGGATGAAGGGGTGGAAAACACATTGTGCTAGTTTGCCGACAACACCAAGATGTGGGGAGAGGTAGGCACGCTCGAAGGAAGAGAGAGGCTGCAATTAGATTTAGACAGACTACAGAAGTGGGTGGATGGTAATAGGATGGGCTTCACAGTAGATGAATGCAGGGTGCTGCACCTGGGGAGAGAAACAATCCACAGCATACATACAAGCTGGGGAGCTACCCCTCCTTGTGAGCACAGAGGCAGAAAGGGATCTTGGAGTCATTATTGATTCCAACATGAACATGAGCTGCCAATGCCAGACTACAGCCAGCAAAGCCAACCACACCTTGTCATACATCCAAAGATGCATCTCAAGCTGGACCAGAGAGGTGATACTCCCCCTCTACACAACATTGGTTCGGCCTCAATTGGAGTACTGAGTCCAGTTCTGGACACTGTACTTTAAGAAGGATGTGGCTTACCTTGAGAGGGTTCAGAGGAGGGCCACCCGCCTGGTTGGAAGGCAACAGGGCAGGCCCTATGAGGAGAGACTGAGGGACCTGAACCTGTTCAGCCTCAGCAAACGTAGGCTGAGGGGGGATTTGGTGGCTGCCTACAAACTTGTTAGGGGAGATCAGCAGCAAATAGGAAGGGCCCTATTCCCCCCCAGAAGCACCTGGGGTGATGAGGAACAATGGCCAGAAGCTGCTGGAGAATAGGTTCAGGTTAGAGATTAGGAGGCACTATTTTACTGTTAGGGTAGCTAGGATCTGGAACCAACTTCCTAGGTAAGTGGTCCTCGCTCCTACCTTGGGTAAATTCAAAAAGAGGTTGGACAAACACCTGTCTGGGGTTGTGTGATCCCAGCGTGTGCTCCGGCCAGTGGCAGGGGGTTAGACTAGATGATCTATTTAGGTCCCTTCTGACCCCTAACTACTATGAAACTATGACTCTAAAATATTTCCGCTGTTAGGATATTAGCAAATACTTTGGCATCTCAGTGCAAATGATGGCTGTCAGATTCCTACCCTTCCTGATGACCACTATATTGTCATGGGCTGATTGAGGGACTGCATAGAGGAAAAGCTAAGCCTGTGATTCTGCATGATGCAAAACTACAAAGAAAATTCATTTTTAGTATTGGCATTTAAGGCCTTTAAGTGTGCGATTAAAGTATGAAAATGGTATACTGACATGAAAACATGTTTGTTTTATATACTAACCAAATAGCACTATAATTGTAAAATTAATTCACCACATTCTATGATATTGCCAAGTTCTATTTGATATAGAAGATAAATGAAGAAAGTGACTTTTAGAAAGTTGGACATGACCCTTTTCTTGGTTTCGATAGGGTGGTGTAGCCTGGATGCTATATTAACGTATGAAATCTGGCAGTGGTCCCCTATGGCTCTTCTATCATTTGGGAACAGCTGGACCAGAAGAAGCTCTGGCCATGACAAGTCCTTGAATATCCTATCTGCTGTGAAGCTCTATACTGGCTGAGGAGATGCAAGCAGTTTTCTTTCTCTTGGTACTACCTGAGCTATGTAAACAGAGAGGAGCAAGAGAGATATAAGATCCAAGCTAGTGTTGGTCTGAAAATTTCCGCTAAACTTTTCTTCATTGGGAAATGTTTATTTACTGGTGTTTTTAATTGGATCATACCAATTTCCATGCAGCTTTTTTTCTGAGAAGATTTCTCAAGATTGAAGATGGAATTTTTTGTCTTTTCTTCTTCACCTTGTGTTCTCTTCCTCCTCCCACACTAGTTTTGAATAGAAAGTAGCCCTGTGGTGAAGGCATTCATATGAGATCTGGAGAACTATGCTCAAATACCTTTGCTGCAGAATATTTCATTTGAATATTTAAGGAAATGGAAGAGCTCCTTTCCAAGAGGAGAGAGAGAAAGTCATAGAACCTGGACTAGCCAACAGCCTTATAGTCAGGACGCCCACCTGAGATATGTAAACTGAGGTTTAGGTCCCTGGCCTGAAGCAGCCAGAGGTCTTGGGTTCCTCCTGGTGCAGAATTAAATCTTGAAAGTTTAGGCAGGATGGTAAAACTGCTCCCTGCCCTTTTATCTTGGCAAATTTAACCCCATTCCAGACTGAACTGTCAAGACACAAACTTTCCCTGATAGAAATTCAGTGACAACTGAACACGTCTGTCCAAATTTACCTCTATAGCAGACTTTGCCTCTATAGCAAATTTACCTCTATGAGCAGGTCACCACATTCAGGATTATGCAGGTTTTGGTGCCATAACCCACTTTCTGGTGCCACAAACCTCGCAGAGGGAACATAAAAATGCAAATTTGGAGCATGGTGGCAAAATTTGGTACCAGGAAACCCTGGTAGCAAAAAAACTATGGAGAAAAAAGCAGTGCAGAGCACTGAGTAGTGTGCACCGGAAGAAACAGAGGGCTGGCCATCCAGAGCAACATTTTGGCTGCTTACCAAGCTCTGTGCTGCTGGATCAGTGCCCCTGCTACACCAGGACACCAGGTAATACTTCTGGCCCTGGCCTCCCCTACCTCTACATGGGACAATTTGTTGAGCATTGAAGGACACGTGCAGGGGTGTGTGATGGGGCATAAAGCAGAGATGCAAATTTGTGCTGCTGCTGTTTGTGCCTCTGTGGCTGCATCAAGACAAGTGCGGACTTTTGGTTCTCCAAGAACAGCAAGCAGCAGGACACCCTGTGCCGCTGCTAATTGTTCCTGGGGAATGCTCATGCCATACACCCTCTGGGATAGAGAAGACTGGGGCCAGCATAACTGCTGGCCCCAGCAGCCTTACCTGGGGTCCTGGGGGCTGGAAAACTTGAACCTGTGTCACCTAGTCGGCAGCTGGAGTATGGAACCGGACAGCCAGGCTCC